ACAATCCTTTTATTTTTCCTTTCCATCTCCACAACTCAATTCTTATTTACTAAATCTTATCGATATTAATACTCATAATCAATTTTTTTCAACTCAAACTTTGACCCAAGTTTCGCAACAAATAATGTGATATTGTCTCAGCCGTTAAACTATGCATGATTTGTGTGCACTAGGTATGAACTTTGGTTCTCATATCAACAACTTCCCTATTTTCGTTTCCCCATCTTCTTCGTTACTATCTGTACAAAAAAATAATCCACGCGATTCCAACTAATTGTAGGCATTTGATTTTCTCATGTTCTTGTATTGGCATCTATTTAAATTTAACGGAGATAAAATTAGGTTATTTGAGCCATTCATGAATGAATTTTACTTTGTAAGGAATTATGCTACGATTATTTATAAAACTCCATAAATGGATGTGTTAGAATGGAATTTTTGATATAGTGGTGAGTTAGGCAGTACATTTTGGTGATAGATTGGTAGTGTAAAACTGATGTAGTGGATTATGGTGATTCTTATAGGACGTCACAATGTTTATTTGTTTGAAATTTTTGAAGTGACTCCCAATTGTTTGTCAAAATATCCATGCCAATTAATTTTTACATGGTGATGATGATTGTGGGTTTACAGAGAATGTGGTGGTTGATAAAGATTGTGGTGGTGGTTAGGTGGATGAGGAGGTGGTATTGGAGGAAGAAATGGAGATGGGATAAAATAGGGTTGAGACAGTGAGGTGGCATGCCACATGGCATCCACCTCAGCAAAATATCAAAATACGTAGGATGGATTGTCCATGGTGGAGATTCCTAATGACGGAGGGGTATTATTGATCCAATTCTATAACGCCAGGGATAATGGTAGATGAATAGTATAACGAGGGGTATAAATGATCCTTTTCGCAAAGTAGATGGATATTTTAGGCCCATTTTCGTTTCGGTGAAGTTTGGAGCTGCAGATTTTGCTGGTGTTAGTTTTTCATAGCAATCACGGAGCAAGTGTCGCGATCGCGTAAGGTAATTTATCGCTGTGGGGCTTTTGTTATTCGCGTTCGCAAAAAGGGGTCGTACTCGCGTACAATTGTAGGCAGGTGCTTCGCATTCATATGTGATGGTAAGCGTTCGCGGAGAAGTGGAATCAGGCGGAAGGTTTGGCCTTCGCGTTCATGGAGGGATTCTCGTATTCGCATAGGTTGGGCAGTATTGGTCTTCATGTTTGCGTGGCAGGCATCGCGTTGCGAAGAGGAGCTGGAGCTAGGCATTGCATTTGGCCTTTGCAATCGCGAGTGGCCTGTCGCGATTGCGATGGGTATCGCAGGGCAGTGTATTAAAGTGCTTATTTTAATATATATCTTGAATCCCCATATATTTTTACACCTAAAATATGAAATTTTGAGATAAAATTTGGAGTTTTTGTCTACAACTTAGGAGATCGTATTTGGAGATTTGAGTACTAATTTGGACTCAATATTTGAAATTAACTATACATTTGGACTCGGCATGAGTCATCCGAATTTGGAACTGGTTTTAGATTTAGGACATTGGAGTCGGGTTGACTTTTGTTTACTTTTTGAGAATTCATCAAAGATCGAAGATTTATGAATTGGGATCGCTTCCTTAGCATTGATTGTTTTCCTTGGATGATGTTTGTCTTGGATTTACGTGATTGGAAAGCTAGAATGAGATTTTGATGCGATTTGATGTTGAAGACTAGTCGAATTAGGTATGTGTCTTGCCTAGCTTTGGTTTGAGGGAATTTTTCCTAATAAATGATATTTTTTGCTACATGCGAGGGTGAAGCATATGCGAGGTGACGAGCGTATATGTATGTGTCGGGTTTATCTATGCTCGAGGTTTATTATATGCTTCTATATGTACCTTGTTGAACATTGTGATCTTCTCGACTTATGTTTCATTTTTTTCACTGAATATATGAGCATAATTATCCATGCTAGAGATTGTGTTTTAGTTAGGATATCTCAATTAAACTTGATACATTATTCTTAAGATTGTTAATATACTCGATTCAATTGAAGACATACTTTATATTAGGAACACCTATATATATCCGTTATTCTTGTGATATTTGAGTTCCTGTATTCATGCTAAAGGTCATGTTTAAGTTTTGTTGATGTATTTGAACATTATGGTTCTCGAAATATTGATTCGCCTATTGGTGCAAAGGTTATGATTATCTCTCGTGTGGAGTATTATTCTAATTCTTCTTGATGTTCTTTATGCTTCCTACCTTGCTTGGTATTGTTTTATATATATATATATATATATATACTTGGTGATGAAGAGTTAATTGCATGAAGGATTTTTTTCGTGCTTGTGAGGAAGGGTGATTTATGCAGGAGGTATTTCCGTGCTTTCTAATATTATTATTATTGAATGAAGGGTGTTTCCGTGAGGAAGAGTGATATGATAATAGCACGAAGAGTGTTTTCATGGAAGTGAGGATGAGAGTTCATGGCACGAATGGTGGTTCCATGCAGGCGAGGACGAGAGACATGAATTATATTATGTTCATTTTTTCCTTACATACACTTATATGCCTTCTACCATGCTTGATTATTGTTACACCTTTGCCTTTTTCTTGTTTGTTAGTGTTACATATATGCCTTCTATCTTGTTTGGTTGTCGTTAACTACATGCATGATACCTTATTTGTTGTTGTTACATCTATTCCTTCTATTTGGTTTGCTACTGTTATCTACATGCCTTCTACCTTATTTGTTACTATTATCTACATGCCTTCTACCTTATTTACTATTGTTACATCTATGCCTTCCACCTTATTGTTATTATTAGCTATATGCATTCTACCTTATTTAGTGTTGTTATACTTATGCTTGGTGAGGATGAGATAAATGCACGAAGGATTTTGTCGTACCGTTTGATTTGATATCTTGTGCATGTTTATTGAGAAAGGGTTGGTTCATGCTCGTTATTTCTCTTTTGACTCCTTTAATATTACTTGTCTTTTCTCTTGTTATTTCTATAGCTTACGAATTGTACATGATATTAGTGAGTTGTCTTTTGACTTAAAAACCTCGCCACTACTTCAGTGAGGTTAGTCAAGATGCTTACTAATTACATGAGGTCAGTTTTACTCTACTATACTTCTACACTTTGCATGCAGATTCGGAGCTGAGCTGCTGTGGATCTTGAAGGCTAGCAATGAGGATGTACTCGCGTTCCAGCTGCAAGCTACCACCTTGTTCATGGTAGTTTAGGATTTGAACTACTATTTATGTATATTCAAACATATATTATATTTTCTTCGTAACAACGTTGTAAATTTAAATCTTAGTGGCTCATGACTTGTACTACCAATCTTTAGATTTTTCACCATTTTATTTATTGATTATTGATGATCTTTCATTCAATTTATGTTATTTATTTTTTGGCTTACCTAGCATGTGGGGTAAGGTGTCATCACGACTAAGTGGGATTTTGGTCGTGACAATTTCTCAAAAACCTCCCTGCTGGTTAACTATTTAATTTTCTTGCAGGATTTAAATTTAAGCTTTCATTATGCTTGCCCAAACTTTACTTTCTGATAATCCTAGATAGCTGGGGCAAAGTGGAGAATAGTGAGGATGACCCCGAATTATCAAATGGACCATTGACTCGTTCCAGGTCCAAGAACATCCAAGAAATGAATACTAAGGAGCTACATGATCTTCAATAATTGACTACAAGGTGTTAGATTTGTGAAAAGAATACCACGTTTAGATGTTTGGGAATTGCAAAGAACAAGCAGGGAAGAATGTTGAGCAGATGCGCGAAGCATTCAGAAAACGCACTTGAGTATACGCAGCGTGCACAAGGGGTAGAGCTACTAGACTAGAGTCCTTGCGCGAAGTCGTGTGCCATTCAGGCTTTTATGTGCGCGAAGAGTGCGCTGACGAGTTATTTTAGGAAAATTAGCATTGGAACTTTTCCTATTTTACACGATGGGTATTTTTAATAGTTGTGTTTTTTGGTAACTAATAATAGTCGTTATTTCATTAGTCAGTTAACGTATTGGCATAAAAAAAAAAAAAAAAACTCTTGAGAGAGATTTGGAACCTCTTGATTCGAGTTCGACTTTGGGTTGCCTATTTTAAAAAAAGTTGAGTTCTTGAGAGTAATTTCCTTTTCCTTTTTTATATCTAGATTCTAGAGTTTCTATTTCGTCGTTCTTGAGAGGGCAATTGGAATAGCTTTGGTTGTTGCTTGAAACGTTCAATCTGGATTCTAAATTTCCTTATTTTTTTTTTATTATTCAGACTTATCTCCATTACTTTAATCGAAATCTATCTTTAGTTTTGCACTCAATTATTGTTATTCTATATTGTGCTGCTTTGTTTAACACAGATCGTATCATTTTCAGGTTTGGGTTTCTAAATAGACGGGCTAGAATTGGCCCATCCACAAGCCAAACTTTTTTAAAAATCGTGATTTGGGACTTGGGCGTATGCCCGGAATAGAATTCGGAAGTCCCTAGCTTAATTTGACGTAATTTGTTGAAAACTAGGAGTTTAAAGGTTTAAAGAATTTCTAAGTTTGACCGTAGTTCGACATTGTTGCTACCGGGTTTGAATTTTGGTTCCGGAACTTGGTATAGGTACATTTCAGTATTTATGACTTATCTGCAAAATTTGATGCAAAACGGAGTTGATTTGCGTGATTCGGACGTCCGGTTGAGAAATTGCATGTTCTTGAGTTTCTTTGAAAATTTTATCCGTTTTGGTGTTCGATTCGTAGTTTTAAGTGTTATTGTGGTATTTTGATCACGCGAGCGAGTTTAAATGTCATACATATGGGGAGGGGAAGGAAAAATGGAGAAGAAAATTACAGGGTAAGGAACTGAACTCTCACTAACAAGGTAAAAGTTGACATAGTCAACCAATTGCACTACCAAAATTTGTCAAGCCAATCTTTGTCGTGCTTTTGTTACCAAAATGGAGTTGAAAGTAAATGAAAGGCTAAAACTTACAAACATTTGCAACCCCATGGAAGGAAACGTTTTATTCATGCAATCCAATACAAAAGAACTGAGAGATTACATATATGTCTGGCTTTTTTTCTCTCCTAATTTTCTTTCTAAATACTATAGCATGCTATATTCTAAAGCAGAGATACATGAACCAATATCTAGAGTTCATCCTTAGAGGGGGCTGGTTTTGGATTGTCCGCGGATAACTTGAGTGGATATGAAGCTTCCATGGCTATGCCACAGAGTCCTTCTTCAGCATCGATGCCTCGTTCCATCCTAAAATAACCTTGTTCTCCCCATCCAGTCCCCCATGAGTTCTTCACTATCCAATACTTTGTTCCATCATGAGTTGCTCCATAGCCCACAACTGCTACCCCATGGTCTAGCTCTGTGCCACAATTTCCATTGAACACTCCCTGCATTTTCACATGTTATATGTTCTGCTCAAATTTGACATGGTATAGCATCAGATGGACTCGAAGGAGAGCAGAATCGATATACAAGATTCATATAACATAGCCCGACTAGTTGGGTTGAGGCATGGTTGGTTCATTTATAGGATATGTCATGTGGAAAATGTTTGGTCACATATTAAAAAATGTTGTAATATTTGACATTAGTATGTCATCAAAGAATCTGGTCTGTGTGTCATGTTTAGACAATGCTCCGGCTGTGGCACATGACGATGTAGCCTTATTTACTGGGTTCAATTGAACACAGTATTTTCAACACGAGCATAAATGCATTTGGAAAATTAGTAAAACTTCAACATATATAAAATTTTGCACACATAATTTTAAAAATACAATGAACTCGAAGGTAAGAACTTCAAGTTGAACAGTCATATCAAACCTCAGAGTAAAACTGCAGATCGGAACCACTAGCATCAATAGCAACAGATACTGGTTGGTTGGCAACAGCTTTCATCAAAGCATCCTCGTCGTTTGTAGGTACCATTTCGTGTCCATCGATATTAACCACCGGGGAATTCATCTAGATGAGATCGAAAAGGTGTTAAAGAAAACAGTTCTAGGATACTGGCTGTTAACATATATATCAAGTATGTTGTTTAAATGTAGGTCTCTACCTTTGAAGAATCACAGCGACTGTCTCTGGCTCTGTAAGGATAGATACCCTCAGTTGTTATTCCTCCATTTTTCTTGATGAATTCATAGGCATTTTCCATTAGTCCTCCATTGCATCCTTCATTATCCTTTTCACAATCAACAAGCTCTTGTTCAGACAGGGAAACTAATTGGCCAGTCTTGATTTTATTTATTCCTTCAACCCCAACAACTGCAGAAAATGCCCAACAACTACCTGCAAATATATGAGGGGATAAATTAGCATGTACTAAAACAAAAGGTTGAGATAGTTATGATGATCACACAATTCAGCAACTTACCGCATTTGCCTTGATTCTTTACACCAGTGACAGCGCCTTGCTTTCTCCAATCGATGGATGCTGGCAGATTATCAGCCTTGTCGTGCATAAATCCAGTAGTAGGCCGACTACCATGGAGCATTCTAAAGTGTTTTACCTTAGAGCTGTAAAAATTTCTGAATTCATGATTGGTCATATCAGCAAACTCGTTGAGTTTCAATTTATAAGGCCTGTCCATCTTGTTTACCTTGTGAACATGCATCACATTCGCCTTGAATACATTGAAACGTTTTTGTTTCTCGCTTAGGTCTCGAGAAACAGTGTGATGGCTCCTCCATCTCTGGTACAAATCCCATAAGCTCTCTTCAGATGCTATGTCTTTTTCGGTGAACTCTAAGCTCTGAACTAGCCCAAATGCCATAGCCAACAAAAGAGAGATTAAGAAAATCTTCCCTAACTCCATCTATTTTATCAAAACTGAAATTTGAAGAATTCAATATAAGGTAAAAAGATTATTAGAACTATGATCTGAGAATAACATATGTTAATATGCTCTTTATATAGAGTAAGCCTAGATGACATTTTTGCATCAGTTAGAAATTCGTTAGTCTTTAACAGATAATAAGGAGAAAAGTTCCTTTACTTTTTCTAAAAAGTGAGACTTGCATAGGATATCAGGCTGTGATTTATCTAATAATGTCACCGCGTTATTTTTGCTAAGTTTGTTTTGCAGAGAATGACGACTGGCATATATTTGGATGGCTGCTGGACACGATTTCTTGCAAGCCTAAATGACGCAAAGAATCCTTTTTCCTACTTTCTGCTATATTTAGGATGTCCCATGAGATTTTCAAAATGCCAAGACGTGTCATTTATAGTTAGAATTGCCAGTAAAGGAACAGGTAAATATTTATAGCTTTGGGCAGTGAAATAACTTGTAATATCTGCTTCATGACGAATTACCAGTCCATATTCCACAAAATACATGGAAAAATTGAACACTCGTAGATTCATAATCAAATCTTTCACCTAAAACAAGTGCAGACTCACTGTAATTAAAAAGCAGAGACAACCAATGTTTCCGTAAGCTAACATCAGCAACTACACTTGGAACTTAAAGCCCAGAACTCTCGTTCATTCAACTTTGTTACATAATCAATGAGACAACGAAGGAAAGACAATTCATTTTGACAGAATCAAATACTCAAAATTCTGTCAAAATCTTCAATATTTAATCAAAAGGATTTCAGGCAATAAAATGGTTGGAAAAAACCAAGAGATGCTAATTTAATTAGACATGCGTTAAAGGAGAATAATTACAGCCAAGCAAGGACACATCTTTATAGTTTGTCTTGGACAAACAAAGCAAGCACGACAAAGGAATGTAACCGACAATGTGCAAATGTTTTTTCATACTACAATCCTTCACACTGTGCAAAACCAAGATTAGCAGTTCCTTTTGTCAAAATCATCAACTATCTCCCGGACCAACCAAACACACGAACTGCACAAACTAACAGCCTTGAGCGGTACAAAGATGCAACTATCCCATGTTTAACAGCAAATAATTGAGGACGTGAGAGCAAAGTGTATGAGTTGCACTTGTTATGCAAGAGTAACCAATAAATAGCAATTCACCGTAATTTACTCCAACTAAACCAAAAAAATTGGTATTTATTGTCAGATTAAAAGTAGCTACAGGTTTAATAGTGCAAGCATAATCCTGCTATGAACGGCATACAGCTAGACAGGTCCAAGCTTTGAGTACATTGAAGACATTCATGACCATTGTTCCATGATTTTTTTGGAAATTCAGTATAGAACCAGAAGTCCAGAAAGATTCAAAAAGACAGCAAAAATAAATTGTTGATTTGAATGCATTGCAATTCTTGGCAGCTTAGGCAAGAGACTCCCGCTCTTTGTTCTCTCTGATTAGCTGTGCTCTCATTCTTCTGATCTCCTCTTCCTTCTCCATTCTCTCTTGCTGCAGTGAGCCAAACTCGTACAGTCATCAACATTTTAAACAGAAGGATAAAGAGAAAATAAATAAAAAATAGAAAATAGAAAAGAAGCAAAGAAAGGCATACGACTTGATAAAACTAGAAAATTATGTTGTACATGAGTGAGACTTTATGTGGCTAGTGGGCATATGGCATTTGACTAGTCTCCAACCTTTGTAGTAAAAGAACCCTTATCATATCGGTCAATGCAAGACTCCCCAAGAACCAATCACTTGATTGTATATCACACGGATAACACTTCGCCTAGCAGCAAAACCGATAATGCCAGTTCTATAAGTCCTACATAGTTGACACTTGACAGCAAAACTGGTATCTTCTGGACAAAATCTATATACACTTTAATCCATGTTCAGGTGGATTTGCCACAGTGATAGACTAGGAGTGAGAAGGATCAAAGCCTATTTTCTTGGCTTGCACTTTTGGAATGAGGATTGCTGACTAGCATTTTGAATAGCTCACTGGCGATGTGGGCAGTATTTACGCCAATGACCTTTTTTTGGATAAATATCTCTGCCGATTGCCGTACGAAGGTGACAATTAACAGTCTCGGCTTCACGTAGGACTCAAAAACAAATAGAGGTTGGCCTACAAACATGGGTCTTCTACTGAGAGCTTATAAGCATGATACTCCTTTAAACAAAAAGGCCAACAGAGCGGATATTTGGATATTGCATTACAAGGTTTTTGTTGGACATCCTGCGAGTATTTTGATCATGCAAGTGGAAAGTTACTAGTTTTCAAGTACAAGAAGGTGCAGGTTGGTACTGTTTCAATATCAGTAGCTGATGCAAGAGAGGCCATAACACTTGGATGGGCTGCCTATTATTTGTTATGTACTCCTTACTCATGATATTTCAAGGCTTTCAACTAAGGTCCTCGAGAAGAAAGGCAAAACATCCAACTACCGCCCATAAGTACTAGACTTTGATAAAGGAATGGGAAGGCGGAGATAATTAATACTGTAATGTAAGTATACTAATTCTTCCAAGCACCTAGACTATAATAACTTTTATATATTAAACGGATAAGGCCCAAAACTTCCAAATAACTAACACCAAGTAATCATTTTATGGTTCTAAGCAGCAACGAAGAACATGAGCTAAAAGTTGTAAAGTTGTGAGCAGTTCTTGTTTTTTCCCCCTTCAATTTTCACCTTAATTCAGTAGATAATCGTTAGGTAGACACAAATATCATACAATATCAGATTTTTCGAACTCCAGAAAGCCGTAACAATGTCGAATTTCATATTCAAAGGCCCACTATAGACGAAGAAGCTTGAAGCTTCGAAATGGAATTTTTGAGCCAGCTCTCATGCGTTCAGCTATAGCTATTAACAATTCAAGCTCAATAACTAACAATAATTTCAGCAGAATAATTCAACATTTCGACCATTTTTTTTTTTCAACTTGCGATAACTTAACAACCCAGCAGTAGGAGTTCAATTTTTTTTACCCAGTTATTCAAATTAGTTGCTAGCACAATTTTGACACGAAGAGCTAACTCCAAACAATCAAACCAATTCGAATTTTCTAGCACCCAATAGTCGCACCTGTGACTTTTAACTTCACAAATTTTTAGAATCAAGGAGGGGAACGATGAACTCGAACAACAAAGAGTTCAAAATTTGCATTTCCGATCTCTTTCAAAATCACTGTGTAACAATGTTTTCAGCTCAACAACTACTCCGAATCAAACCGCAAGCTACATTTTCAACTTCGAAAACAACAAGTCCTTTTACGAGCATATTTGAAAACCCGACATAGAAGGAATGAAAATTTTTCTTTTGGAATTTTCTAATTTTTTTTGGTGATTTCTTATTCGGATATCAAGACAATAAACAAGGAAATTGTTGAACAATTTCTTAGCCTATTCTCCAAAACAAAAAGATTTTAAGAAATTTGAAAGCACTTAGTTCTGGAGGAAGGAGATGAAATATAGAGAAAGGAAGAGGGTTTAGTTATTTTAAGTCTTGGAATGGGTCGGGTTTAAGGTACTGGGTATTAGGTAATCAGTACGGGTTGGGGGTTAAATATGCTTAGAAGGCCGCCACGTGTCCCCTCCGTTAAACTGAGGGGTAAATATGTTTAATAGTAAGACGGTAGGGACAAATCAGACCAAATAGTATAACGGAGGGTATGTATAAACACTATTTAATAGTAGAGGGGTATTTTTTACCCTTCTCTGTTTCTATTTCAACCATCCTATCTTAATTCTGTGTAGTACATCATATCTATCATACAATTCTCGTGGAAAATTGATCCCAGATATATGAATTATTCGTATTTAGGCAAAGCAATCCCATTTAATCTCACCTCGAATTCACTCGTCTGATATTGGCCAAAACTTGCGGTACATATATCCTATCTTACTTCTACTTATTTTGAAACCTTTTCTCTCCAGATTAACACAACATTGTCATCAAACTTGAATTGTTTCTCCACAATTCAAACTTTTGGCTAACAAGCTCACTAGTTGTGTCAATTAACATAACATCGTCATCAAAAAACACACACCAACACCCTAGTGTAAACCATGGGTTATGAGAAATTCTTTTATCCCTCCTACCACAGTGCTCACACGTGTGACAGAACGTATCCTTTACAACATTTATACATTAAATATGAATTCTTTTCTTCTTCAGCATCCACCAAAGCACTTTAAATAATAGTGGTGTTTAGGCCAGCTTGAGCACACTTCTAGGTCAATGAATTCCATGTGTCGATCATTCTTCCTCTCCCTATAAATTTTCATCAATCATCTTAGCAAGAATATGACCTATGATGTAGGTCTACTAGGCATCAATCACTTCCAAACTGATCCATTGTTACTCCAGTAGCATTGCTAAGTCTTGTTGTATCACTCTGCCCATAGTTTCATGGAATGACTCATAAGTTTAATGTTACAACAGCTTGCAGAAGATAACAGCTTAACATTCTGATATACTAATTCTCCAAATTCCTGAGGTTTTTTCTCTAAGTTCCCCTAGAAGGAAGAGGATAACCATCTAGACTATGAGTATCCTCTCCGAAAACACCAACAATAATTAATGAATTCCTCTCAAAATACCATACATCTGAATGTCAGAAAAATCTGCACTTTTACAAATCTCAGAGCAACAATACCAGCATCCTTAATTTATGAGAACCAGTTACGATCCAGATCGAGAAAAGCCCAAAATCCAAAAAGACAATATATAATTCTGAGATTATTTCCTCACAAAAGGAAAAGAACCCAATTAGGATTCGGGAGGTTCATTTCATCAAAGGAAGCACAAAAACAAAATTAGGGTTTTGGAAATTACCTTCTCATCCTGATGGAGAGCGATCCATACATGGATTTTGTCCATGGTTTGCCAGAAAGCGAAAGCACCTAAAGACATTGCAAAGAACGTCGCCACTTTCACCATCTTCTCTAAATGTTCTTCTAAGTTTTCCGAGTCCTCTCAGTTCAGGGTATTGAATACAATCTTTGTTCACCTATTACTCTATTAGTGAGTTCTGTTCATTGCC